TTAAGCAGAAGGAAAAAGCAGGCTCCTCTGAAAACAGCCATATAAATACTAGATTGCATCTACTACCTCACTTATATTTTGTTTCTCTGCTTTCACAACAAGTTCAGGGCTCAAGCAAGTAGCACACAAGGACTTTGCTTTAAGTTTTGCTGTTCTAAATCAAGGATATAGTTTCAAAACAGGTATTTAATATATCCTTTTACCAGCAGGTGTCAGTTATGGGCCTGCTGGACAACTGAATGGGGGGACTATTAGGAAATCTAGGCCAACGGACTGACAAGAAAATCTAAAACATCCTGAAAGTAGTAATAGCAAACTCTTTTTTGGAAAGAGAAAAAGTGCAGAGAAGAACAAAAATGATCATAGAGAGCTTGAAAGCAAAATCTTACAAAATCTTTAAGAGTAGCTTAAAGAAAAGAAGGATGTGGGAAGACATGATAGCAATCTTCTAATAATTGATGGACTTTTACATGGATGAGGATGTGGATTTATTTTCCATAGCTCCCAAGGTTAGGCCAAGAAGCAATAGGTAAAAGTTTATCAGAAAAACATCAAAATTTGAAATAAGGAGGAATTTCCTCACTCTGACAGCTGCTAAGCAGTGGAATAGTCTGCCTGCTGAAGTCCTGGGTGTCCAATCACTGGATGTTTTCAAGAAAAGATTGGACTGCCACTTGGGATGGTATACTAATGTGAGGATACCTGCCTTGAGCAAGGGATTGAACTAGAAGACCTCCAATGTCCCTTCCAATTTTATAATTCTATGATTCCACAATTTCAAAAACAAACTATATGGATGTGTCAGTTGACTTGAAGTCATGTTGAAGGAGCCTTCATTATTATTACCCCAAACCATTTTTATATATTCGATTTCCCTTAGTAGGTTTTTCTGTTATAAAAGCAATTTGAAAGTAGATTTCCTCCCTGAAAATTACAAGATAGTTACTTCTTATCAGGTGCTCCAATATACTTTTTAAAAATGTTTTATTAATTTTCTGTTTTCACAAACAATGCTCAATAGACAACGTGATGACTGAGTCCATTAGTAATTCTGTGGTACATATAAGCTTCTTCCAACTAAGTCCAATATTAAACCTGCCAGTACATTCTCTCTTCTTCTGGTAATAACCATTTTTCCGCATTAAGCAAATACAGTTATTGTTATTGTTAGTAAACATACAATTGCATATCAACATTTGTTACATTTTTCTAATAATATCAATAATATCAGTTTAAAATATCTTTTCTAGCCAAATTACATTTGCACTAATTTTCCACTTATTTAATACATATCCTATTTTTGCTTTTTTCAATTTTAATTTCCCATCCACGTTCAAAGTATCCCAATCATTTATAATTTCAAAACAAGTTATATTTGGGCAACCAAAAGCATCCCTTATTCAAAGTTCTTAACATATTCTTATTTCTCTTTTCATACCAAGATATAATATTTTGATTACAAATCCTAACTATCTAGTTATAATAATATTTCTATTTCTAACAATCTTCTCTGCCACACAGATAAGCAGCCCCCAAGCTGTTCCTTTTTTCTCAACTGTAGTTCTCAATAATAAAAGCTTCCAAGGCCAACCAAAGTCTTATCTAGTTCTGGGCTTCAAGCCAGGTTTCTTTTAGGCATAAATAAGTTGTAGTGCCATAATTCACCACTAGATGTCATCAACACCGCTTTCTAGTTTTTAGATCCAAAACTTAATATTGCAAACTTTTCAAGTCTTTTTCTTTAAAAAAAGGTCTTAAAAACACTTTTAGTCCCAAATAAGATAAGTCTTATAGGTTTCGCCAGTATCCCCAAGTAATTAATTCCCAGCTTTTCTTTTCTGAGGGAATGGGGTGGAAATTCCCTTTCCTGCTTTCATCAGGGGGAGTGCTTTGGGCAGATTTTCAGGAAAAGGTCTTAAAATCATAAAGAAAGGATCAGGTCTCACCCAGTTTCATCCACGTTGCTATAAAGTTGCTTGGTAGTGCTTGTTGACTTCCGTTGTCAGCAGCTTCAGACTGGCTATGCGAATGCAGCTAGTCTTTCCCCCCACCAGTTTGGAGGGCTTCCTCAGATCAAACAGGAGGTCTGCCACCACCCCACGATCAACAAGAGTCTCCTCCTTGCTTACCGCCTCTACAGAGCAAATTTTGACCCTTTCCAGGGTCCCCCAGCAGGGAGAAACCAGACACAAAAGACAGAGCCCTGTTGTCAGGGCCTACTTCAAAACCTCATCCTAAGAAAGCAGAACTTGTGGAAGCAGGTTCTTCCAAAATGAACTTTTATTAAGAGAAGCTGATAGCAGGCATAATAGACAGGAGCAGAAGGTTTCCCACTCAGATCATTAGGTTAAAGGAGTTCCAAGCAAACCCCACCCCACTAGTTCATCTGGTCTGTTCAAATGGGCCAGGTGTTAAGTCCATTGTGGAAAATGCTGATAACACTAGTCCGTTTCAGGCTTATAGCTGTGTTTATCGGGTCTTCACACCTTCCTTTCTGCACAGGACATAAGCCAGATGCCCAGAGGCACATTCTTTCCTCCCTCCTTTCTAGTTGACATCAAGGGATGACAGTTCAAAGAGTATGTAGGCAGAGACAGCGAAAGAGTTACATTGTAGCAATAGAGAAAACAAAGAGGCAACTCACAGCATCTTCCCCCCTCCCTTCCAGGAGTATGACAGAACCCAGAGGAATAGAAAGAATGGAGTTTAGAATCAGAATTAGAAAGAGCCCCTTAGGAATATGGGTTCTGACACCCATCTTCCTGCATCTGCATTGCCATTCCAGTATACTTTTGATGGTCTGTGCTTCTGTGTTTTTTACTGAAGTTTTCTTGTTTAATTACTAGGAAATAATGGCTGAATAGGGCAGAAAATATTTATGTTTGTTTGTTTACTTATTTATTAAATCTCATCTTTATTATTTTTATAAATGTAATATATAAATAAAATCCCTATATATTAGTGATAGGAAGAGATAATTCTCAAATATAATAATATATTCTGAAGCAGAATGGATGAGTGCATAAATTGTGAGGGTAGAGGTCTTAAATATCCTCTCAAAAGCCACCTAGGTCTTCATAGCTATGCCTCCTAATTTTGGTGGCAGCTAGGTAATTCCAGCTGTCATCACCTATTTTCCAGAGTGAACTTCACCTGGTTTTATTGCCCTAACCATGTAAGAGAAACAAGATTCTCATACCCTGTGCTACCTTCCTGGAAATTAAAAAGTGAAATAATTTTATAGTGTAGTGTCCTAGCTATGCAGCTGGAGATTCTCCCTTCCTTAGGAGATAATTCAATCACATGAGAAATGATCACAATCAAATGTTTTTAAAAGGTAAAATAAAAATATAAAACTTTTTAATTTTTGTTATTTCAGGTATAATATTTAATGTTAGTAATGATAAAGGTGTTCCAATCAGGGTCAACAGCTTTAAAAAAATTACAAAATAAAATGCAGTACTTCAGGGAAATCACAAGATGGTGCTGGTTTGCTACAAATATCTAAAGTCCAGGCAAAGTCTTTGTACAAAACAGACTGAAGATAATTACAGATCCTAAGAACTTTGTAGAGAAAACAGTAGATCTCTTTTAACATAGTTGAGGTTTGTTTGACTTAAAGTCCATTTTTCTATTTGAATATATAAATAGACAGAATCAGATTTAACCTAGCACCACACAGAAAAAAAAGATAGAATAGACATTTCTTGCTTGACTTGGTTATCTATTTCTTTAAAGGTAAGGCTACCTGAATCATAGGGCAGGAAGAGATTTTGGAGGCTTTCCAGTCCAATCCAGGAGAATTTATATTATCTCAAATGGTTGAAATCATCAATATATCAGTTTACCAATATCAATAATAATATTACTGATATTGATTTAAAAAGTGAACCTAAAAACCCTGGACACAAAACACAAAAAACATATATATAAAAAAAGTGATTAACTATTTCCCCCAAATTATGACAAAGGATCTTGCATTTCCTGTTCTGTTCAGTGTTTTTCTTTGGCAACTGGCATGGCCATAGAGAAGTGGGACAATTCTAGTAAATATCTGATTCTAGCTACTCAACTAAAGCAAGCAGACACTTATATTGGGCAGCAGAAGTATGACAATAGCAAAGGCATCAATTGGTATTGTGTGGGTGGAGGCAATTGTAAACCACTCTTGTGATTTACCAAAGAAACCACAAGGATAGACAAAGGTAAAGTGATTGATGATACAGTGCCATGTGTTAGGCTCCTCAGGTTGGATGGTACTCAACATGTTTTACAAGTTCTAAGTTAACGTAAAGTGGAAGAAGATACCAATCAGTTTTCATGATATCGTCTTGAACATATATTCACCATTTTCAAGGAGAACACCAGGAATCACTTTAAAGTCCTAAAGTGGACAAATCAACCTGAAGAAGGTCTGTCTAAGTGACTGCTAAGAATCAACACCAACTTGAAGGTACCTAATTAATAAACAAATTCAACAGATCTGATACTTCTAAGTATGGAAGGGTTTGCTTGTTAATTGCAGTTCTGTTTTGTTATTAGACAGAGAACCCCATCTATCAAATGATGGCAATGTCAAAATAAAGTCACAATCTTACATTTAAAAAGCTCCTTATTAGATAATTGATAATATTATCTAATTTGTATTTCAACAAGACCAGCACAGAAATATCTATTTATAACTTTAGCTATATGTCATTATTATTACTCCACACAGCACTGATCTTTTTCAAAAATGAACTCATTGAATAATATCCAACCCACTCTTATTCCCCCAGCTTTTGATTTGTGTTATACCAGTAGCGTGATACACTGACTGGTATACACTGATGAATTCAGCTACCAAGATATCATAAAGCAAGAATCCAGTTCCCTTTGAGGGAGATTTTAAGTTTGCTACAAGCAAAGAGAAGGAGGGAGGGAGGGAAAAGCAGCTCCAACTGTTTCTAACCAGCCATCCAGCAGCTGCTGTTACTGTCTTGTGGTTAAGCTGGATTTGCGTGCACATAATTTCTTCTCCACTTGAGGAGGCTGCTCTACCCTGGAATTGCTGGAAACTGCTGTCTGGATCACGTTTGATCAGGAAAAGAGAACATTTTAAGGATTTTTGAAATTGGTGTTCCAGTTCCATGTTGCTGTTCCAGTGAAGTGATGGATTGAAGATTAAAAATGTACAGGGATCATCCACATTTCATGAAGTTTCACACAGACTTTGTGAGTAAGTACGTCATGAACAATTCTGAATTTCAGGTTGTCAACACAAAGAGTGAGTTAGGAGCTTGTGTACAGATGAACACTAGGTGGGAGGGTGGAAACAGGCACTGGATTTATGTTCATATTGAGGAAAAGAAAACGAAGTTCCTACATTTATCTAGCTCAGGGGTTTCCAACCAGGGGTGCTCGCAACCCCCTGAGGGTGCAAGACAATATTCCAGGGGGTGCAAAAACTTGGCTTTTCAAAATTATAGTGTATATGCATAATTTGTTGCCGTTATTTTGAACTTTTGCATGGGATGCGAGAATATATCAGAGCGTTCTAGGGGTGCGGGATATAGAAAAGGTTGGGAGCTGCTGATCTAGCTACTTTCTCATTGGGAAGCTGCTCCTTCATCATTATATTACTGGAACTCAAGAGATCAATGGGCTTTTTTTTAAAAAAAAGTTAATGCATGACACTTTTAGTTAGTTCATTGTGAGTTTATTTTTTAAATTTCAGTTGAATTATGATTCATCATGAGTTTAAAATCTTATAGGAATTCTGTCAAATAGTTGTCAGTAATGCATAAATAAAAGTCATTGCTTGATTATATTTTATGTCATCCAAACACTTGTATGCCTGTTTTCAGCATTAATAGTTGATCACTGATAAATTGGTGCCTCATATTTTATACAATGCACCTTTCTCTACTTCTCTCTCTCAGATACATACACATCAGAAGAAAAGATTTTAATTACATCTGGATGGGTTCCATTCACTTTTATGTATCAGGATTCAATCTTATGAGCTTGAAGTAGATAGCCACATAGTGGTATAGCTCCTCAGTAAATTTACCATGATAGGATAATGGGCTCCATGAGTATGCAACTTGCTTGCCTCAGAAAAACATTCAGTTTAACCATGATATACATATAAGAGATGGAAATTAACACACATACTGTTGGACTGAGATATCAAAGATCTACATTTACATATCTCTACCCAAAGTTGGATCTAAAATGTTAGCTTAATAATTGTGGGTCTTGCACTGTGCTCTCCACTATGCTAGAACTTGGGAGTTCATTTTTCTATTTTCAACTATGAGCATGTCATCAGCATAGTGCATCTTATTGGTATTTTTTCCTCCAATTTTAAAACCAGATCATTTCTTCCATTTATTTCTCAATAAATATTCAGCCTATAGATTTAATAAACAGGGAGAGATTACACAGCTTTATATCACTCCTTTGCCCCCCTGGAGTTAGTCTATTTTGTCAATGTTCTGTCCATGATTTCAGACCTGTGCTTAGGTGTCATATGAGCACGAGATGTTATGGGATTCTTACTTTACTATGGACATTCCACAGCTTTACATGATCAAGGCCTTTCTGAAATCAATGAAGCACATATTAATTTATCTGGGGCACACTTTGGCTTTTTCAATTATCTAACTTGCATCAGTAAGCTGTTCCTTGGCTTTTTCTAAAATCAATTTGATCATCTTCCTGAAACCAGTTTGCTGTTTTACTAACATGCTTTCTTGGTTCCACCAGTTCTTTCATTTCCATAATAGCTGTCTGACACAGAATTTACTGATTCTGCTAAGCAGCTAATAGTCCTATAACTTGCAAGATGTCCCTTCTTTGCTGTAACAATGAATTAACCCTCCTTTTCTCCTATACCAAAATATTACAATCTGCCTAGCAATTTTCACAATTTAATCAGCCCTAGTAAACTGTTTTAGCCATACAAAATATTGATTTTGGAATTAGTTTTTACCCATGAAGTTGGTGTACTATTGGTTAAGATAATGCCAGGAAAACAGACAAGTTTTGATGTTTCAGCATGCACTCCAATAGTACAGGGTGAGATACAGCAGGCGTAATCATCATGCTGCTATTTATACAGTATTTGTTTATTTGGTGGATTGTTTTAATTGTATAATTGTAAGCTTGGATGAGTTGGGTGGTTATAGAGGAAGGAAGGAAGGAAGGAAGAAAGAAAAGAAGGAAGGGAGCATTGCAGTGCCAAACTGAGTAGGTTCTCTGCCTACTTGCTTGGTCTGGGCCATTTCTGTAGAGTGTCCTGACAGCTGCTAGAACCAAGCAAGCATTCCTGCCCCTTGGGCATCTTTATGGAGAAGGGGAAAAGTTCTGGCAATGGCAGACAGCTGTGAAGCCTCTCTTCTTCCTTAGAGCAGGGGTCCTCAACCCTCAAGCAAATGCGCGCACACGCGCCAACTTCCAATCCTGCGAGCAAAGGCCACTTGAGTTTGTGTGCCCTTTGCACAAATGGAGCTTCACTTGTGATGACTCTCCGCTCACACAAGCAGAGCTTCGCACGTGAGCACAAGCACCCTCTGCTTACACGTGAAGCTCCATTCGCGCGAATGGAATGTAGTGCTGAGCCGTCAAGGTGGAAAGATTGGGGATCGCTGCCTTACAGAGTTAGTCTGAAAGGTAATCTTAAAACTTAGACATTTGAAAACGGTACAAGGGCCATATAAAGCTTTATCAATTTCAAAGAATAAAAATCACTTTGCAATTCCCATAATTTGAAATCATGGATACAGAATGTTTCTGGAGATATTTACATCAAATCTAACAACATGGTTATCAAGGAACATAAAAACACTGGCTGCTGATGCCTGTATATCAGTGCTTGTGAAAAGTAGGCATATGTGGGTGCAAGTCTGTTTGTGTACATATGTGTAAGGACCCATCCCACTTTGCATCTTAAGAAGACAGAACTCTTGGATTATTTCTTCCAACAGGCATCCTTTATTAAGAGAAAATGGTTGCAGGCGTTCTAGACAGGACCTGGGGCCCAAGCCCTATGGTTCAAGGTTTTAAGGGATCCCCAGCAGCCCCACCCCACCCCACCATCTTTCCAGTGACAATCCCAGGTGTTACATTTCTACCCCCTTTTCCCTCATTGCTGGTGGAATGGAGACTTCAGAGAGGATTAGATGAAGCTAATGGCCTCATTGTTATGTTTAGTCCTTTTGGTGGTATCCACATCCAGTCTCTTTGAAGTGTACTGAAGGAAGTGAGGGCCATAAAGCCCCTTTGTTCACCCCCCTTACCTTCATTGTATGACAGAATCCAGAGAGGGCAGAAATGGGGTTTTCCATAGTCGATAACTAGAGATGAAATATAATTGGATTCTGACATCCTGCCCCCTTAAAAATAAGATAGATCCACCTGAAAGAAAACAAAACAGGTACAAAAGTTAGTCAGGCTTCTTAGGATACTCTGTGTGAAACTTCTTTAATAGCTTTGGGGCTCTGACATGGCGTTTATGGACCCACTCGTTTTGTGAGGCAGGGAGATGTTTCCATGCAACTAGGTACTGAGTCACTCCATGATATCTCTTAGAGTCTAGGATTTCCTTTATTTTGAAGTGTTGTTTGCCTTCCACCATGATTGGAGGTGGTGGTGGTGGGGATTTTTGGCCGTAACAATGACTGATGCTCTCTTTTCAACAAGCTGCAATGAAAACTTGGGTGTATTTGCCTGAGATTTTTTGGTCATTCTAATTCTACTGTTACTGGGTTTATGATTCTTTTAATTGGAAAAGGCCCTATATATTTTGATCCAAATTTTTTACAGGGTTGTAGGGACTTTAGGTATTTTGTAGATAAGTACACCATTTCTCCTATAATGAATGGTATAGGCTCAACCCTTTTTTTATCGGCTTGTGCTTTGTATGCCTGCCTAGCTTCATCTAGTGTTTTTCTAACTATTGGCCAGGTGTTTTGTAATTGTTCCATCCATTCTTTCAGTGATGGGATCGCCGGTTTGGTTGGGATTAATTCTGGCATGGGGTTGAAACTTTGACCAGTGGCTATTTGAAAAGGAGTGTAACCTATGCTGGAGTGGACTGCATTATTGTAAGCAACTTCTGCGAAAGGGAGTAGGTCCGTCCAATTTGTTTGCTGAAAATTAATAAAGCATCTTAAATATTGCTCAAGTACTGAGTGACAATGTTCCATTTGTCCATCCCCCTGGGGATGATGGCTAGATGTCAGTCCCTGAGTAGTCCCTAAGAGGGATAAAAATTCCTTCCAAAATGCAGACGTAAATTGCACTCCCCTATCAGAGGTGATACGTTGGGGTGCCCCGTGCAATCTGTAAATGTACTGGACGAAACGTTTTGATAAGGCTTTTGCGGTGGGAATCTTTTGGCAAGGGGTAAAGTGCACCTGTTTGGAAAACAAGTCCGTGACCATCCAGACAACAGTATTTCCATTGCTTTCTGGTAATTCCACTATAAAATCCATGGCTATTTCCCTCCAGGGGGCTGAGGGATTTACCACTGTTTGTAACAGTCTGGGCGATTTCCCTTGCAACCTCTTTGCAGTTGCACACTTTGGGCAGCTGGCCACGTAACTTTCTATGTCCTTTTTTATGGATGGCCACCAAAATTGCCATTTAATTAAGTGTAATGTTTTTACAAATCCAAAATGCCCTGCTGATTTTGTGTCATGGCAAAGCTGCATGAATGTGACTCTTTGGGTTGTTGGTATATATAACTTTTCCCCCACCCAAGGCAGCCCGTCTCTCATTGTACACACATTTGTGTTTTTCTGGAACCATTCATCTGTTTCCAAACTTTTCCGTAATTCAATTCTGGTTTGGCTGCCCAGCTGTGGTTTTAATTTAGCTTGGGCTCTGGTGGTTACTGGCGCTGCCAGTTGTGATTCTACCATCATTGGTTTAGGGTTGGTGGCTCACATGCTGCTATATTGGGGTAAATGTTTGAGCTTAAATTGGAACTGGTGAAAATGCTGGGACCAGCGGGCTTGTTTGGGATTGAGCTTCCTGGGTGCTTTCAGGGCTTCCAAATTTTTGTGGTCTGTCCACACCTGGAAGGGGATTTTGTTGCCTTCAAGGAACTGGTGCCATGTGAGTAATGACCAATGTATCCCGTATGCCTCTTTCTCCCATACGGGCCAGCGCTGTTCCATTTCCGTGAGTTTCTTGGATGTATATGCACAGGGTTGCAATACCCCTTCATCG